AGAGAGAGAGAGAGAGCTTTTTATATGAAAACATGTAAACATCCATGAAGAAATGCCCAAAACATAATTAATCCACAAACTCACAATGACCCACTCCTCAAGAAAGTTCCACATGTGTTGTTGATGTGACAACATGAAAATACGACTGGCTAATCTACAAGTGACCTTTTGACTTGCAAAGAACTACAGCAATAATTCTTGAGTCCCTCAATAAACACAAAATCTCAAGAGCATGAGAGATTCTTTAGCTTGTTGTGAAGTTACTACAAGACCTTAAAACAACAGCGTGCAGCCAATGTAGAAGTCATCCATCATCGAGTTTGTAATAAAATCCTCACCATCAATAGTGATGTATCATTCGCAGCATAAAAAGATTACGCTATATAATAAAAGTCAAGCAAGTCTTAATGTCCAAACTATGCATTTAACAAACGCCATTCAATTTTGTGGATCCCTTTCAAAACCAATTACCAAAAGATTTGGGTAATAACCGTATCAGAGATTTCATAGAAGACATATATGCCATCACATATTGTCATTTTCTGATAAAATGTAATATGTAATAGTATATACTTTATTAATGGGGAACCTGATGAGAAAACAACAAAAAGAGCGGAAATAAGCTTACCTCAGGAGCAGATATCTTGAGCCAACTAGGGGGAGTCCTCTTGTATGGCAATGCCGAAGAGGAAATACCTTTCCTGTTAGATAAACACATGTACAGGTTCCTCTTAAATGAGCATATATGCAGCAACATGATATTTTCCTTTCCAACAGAGGATAACATAAACGACACAAAAACTTACCCACGACTATGCATACGGCCCATGATGCCAAGCTGATTTTTTTCCGCCCTTTAACTTGCTATAAACCTTAACAAGGAAACCCAAATGTTTTCCACAGAGAAGAGGCCTATCAGTTTTAGGTCAATCAATGATTTCCAGTCATCAATAGTTGAAATTGTTTAAATAAATTTCAACAGGAAATCTAAATCTAATGGCAAAGGAATGGACCCATGAAACAACCACTGACCATATGCTTAGATTATTGCATTATTCAATAATCAATGCAAATTCCTTTACAAATGGCTATAGTAAAAACTAAAAAGGTTATTGTGATAGATGCATTTTCCTTTATCAGGCAAGCAATTACATGTTCTTGATGACAAGTATTCATTGCATATAAATCGTGATCTAACCTTTTTCAGGCTCTACACCAGTTTTAGCCCTTTTATCTTCACCTTTCTATAAAACAAACAGTGAACACAGCCCTTTTTCACCAAAAAACATGAACCCATTAAGATTTCTATAATTTTTATGAATTCAACAGAGATTATCAGGTCCCAACTTTCAGATTTCACTTTGTATTCAAGGACAGCTCAGAACCCGTGATGACTATTTTTCATCTAGCATATATGAACATTTAGACGAAACCCCGTGGTAAAACAAGATTTTGATCCTATCTTTCACAGAGAGCATCATTCCAAAAAACAAGCAATTCAGTATGCAACTATGTATAGCATCAGTATCAGAAAAGATAGGACTTTCCATTTATCACACGCAGATGAGCACCCAGAATCACATATTTTCCTCATTTAAAACTGAGAAAAAATGGAAGAGAGAGAGAAAGAGACATAACAGGTAGAAAAATAAGAGAGAAGCCATAGAGATGAGGTAATTCCGGAAAAAAAGGCCAAAGAAATACACAATAAAGATATACATCGAGAGAGAAAGAGAGATCAGCCCATCGTGATACAGGGAAAACATCAGACAGGAGAACATAGATCGATAGAGAGAGAGTAGCCAGAGGAAGAGAGAGAGTACCTGGGCCTCAGTTGCTTCGTCGCCTAGAAAGAGAAAGAGCAGAGACAAATGTAGGCTTTAGGGTTTTCAAGGAGTTTGCAAAAGGCTAGGGTTTCTTTCTTTGTTTTGCCGCCGGTGGTGAGGTTAGAGAAGAGAATTCTCGCTTTGTTTTCTCTCCTACACAAATGACGAAAATGTCCCCGTTAATAATTTTGCAATTAAACATGGGAAGGATTATATACGGCAAATGTTTTTTATCGCGCTGATAAGCAAGGGTGCAGTTTGTATAGAGCCGAGGCTCTAAACAATCAAAGTAAAGCGCTCCTTCATATAGTATCGAGAAATGTGGGTTCAGTACTGAAAATCTTTGTGATAGCTTTAAAATATTTTTTCATCCTTGATTATAATATTTAAAGCTAAAAAAATAATTTAGATCCAGTAGATCTATGAAAGCTTAAAATCTTGAAAATTGAATAAAAATACGTTACAAAATGCACTATTTATAAAACTTGAAATCCTTGGTTTTTCTCATGTCCATGCATCTTGATGTCAAGATGATCAATTTGAGGATATTTGGGCATCAAAATAACCTCTTCTCATGAAATTCTTGAGGGAGGCTCCACTTTGATTGTTTAGAGCCTCGTCTCTATATAAACTTTTTCCAATAAGTAAAGCCACACCTCAAAAATAGTAGGTCTAATATGGAAATCTTCAAATTGGTCACCTAAGCCTTGACCATTAATAAAAAAATTAGGATTTCAAGTCCTAAAAATAGTGTATATTTTGAATATGTTATTTATACCGTTTATTTCGCCCTAAAAATAAGTTGTCATAGATCCACGAGATCTGTACCATTTTTTGAGCTTCAAAATTTATAGTTTCTATTGGAAAGTAATTTTAGAACCATGACCATGATTTTTTATGCTCAAAGTCCTTTCTAAGTGAGGATTAGAGATGAGGCTTTATTATGCGGTTTGTATAACGCTGAGATCCTAAACAATCAAAGTAAAGCATACCTTCAAATAGTGTTGAAATATGTTGTTTAAGTATAAGAAATTTTTATGATGCTCTGGAAATTATCTTCATCTCTGATATGAAATTTAAAGATAAAAATTGAACTTAAGTCTTCTATAAACAATCTCACATACCACATATTGCATACCACATTACATAAAAATTGAACTTAAGTCTTCTATAAACAACACATAAACAATACATTACATTAAGAATAAGTCTTCTTTTTAAAATTGAATAAGCATGAATACATACTTTTTTAAAATTGAACAGGCACTCATCATAATCAACAATTTTAGATATTTCATTAATTAAACCAAAAAGCCATATCAGCAGGCATTGGCCTATTTACAAATTCAAAAACAAAATGGCATATCAAAAAAAGATCAACTGGCATTAATAGCCACTTTACATCATTTCATATACTTAATTTGCATGTCTCTCGATTATGGCACATGATCCCGAATCGGATACACTTAAGAAGCTTAATCTCTTTGAACTATATTTGTATGCGTCGTTTCTTTGGCCGATCCGCGGTTCGCTTTGCAGCTGGCGACATTATTGTTGTATAGACATTCTCTGGCAACTCTAGTGCATCAGGCATAGGGTTGAAAGGAAGGGAATATGCTCTATGGTACATTTGAACTGCAATATAAACACTGTAAAACTCTGTAACATCTTGATGACTATGATCTATAGCGGCGATCGCAATGCACAACAATCCACTCACCTGCCACACCTGACAACTGCATGTATGTGTCACCAGATTAACAACATATTTCTTATCCGCATTGATATCATACATACCACATGTGCCCATATGACTGTATGAAGAAATCCGGATTTATCACTCCTCATGTCTATTACCTCTTGGGCCTTTGGTGTAAGCACGTTGTTCAATTCTAGGGACATGACCATCTTCTTTGAAATTATTCTCATGAGCTTAACCTTTAGGCAATCGAGGAGTTTAATAAGGGGCTTCTCCTAAGCCTTTAGTATCAACCGATTATATGATTCGGAGATGTTCGATGTGAGATGATTGTATTTACACCCTCGAAAATATGTGTTTGTCCAATATTTCGGATGTTGTAACATGATTTAGTCATAGGCCTCAGCATTTGCACTCTTAATCTTTGTGATGTATTCATCGAAGTCTGATATAGACAATGCACATGTAGCTTTCCAATAAAGCTTTGTGAGCACCAAATTTCTATAGGACTTTTTGAAGTTATTGGCAAGGTGATTCATACAATAGTCATGTTCACTAGTTGGGAATACCTTTTCAATTGCGACTTGCAACCCTTTCTGACAATATGAGACAATAGCCAATATTGGCAAATCAGGCCTCTCACGAAACTGCGCATTGAGAAGTTCTAAAAACCAAGTCCAACTTGGTGTATTTTCACTCTCAACTACTGCATATACTATAGGAAATATATGTTCATTAGCATCTACCCCAACTACAGTCAATAGTATATTGTTATATCTTCCCTTCAAAAATGTCTCAAACCTATCATGATTATCTGTTTGAATAATTGTTACGGTTTCAGGGTTAGTGATTCGGATCTTATGAAGGTACTTAGCGAGATCCTCGTGTGGCTTTACATGAGAACCCTCATTTATCTCTTGTGCAGCCTCTTTGCCCCGCCATGCTTGTTAGTAAGATAACATGACACAGTGATCACGTTGTATATCATTAACCACATCTCCAGGTGTCAGATTGAGCATATCATTCAAACGGTTTTTGATCTTGCTTGCCACCCAGTGGCTTCGAGCCAGCGGCTGATGAACCCTAACTATTCCGCCCGCACATGAGTGCACATTTATAAAGTTCTTCACCTTGAAAAATTTTGTTGTATTAACCCTCCAACAATGCACTTGCCATGAGCACTCGTCTGCAATACACCTCGCCCATACACATATGTCCTCGCTTTTTATCAACTTCATATTGAAGTTTTGTGATATGGCATAATCAATATAAGGTGATTATACCATAGCTGTATGTCATCAAAATCCTGACTTTGTCGAAGTACAACTTCGTAATTGTTAATCTTGAGGGGGCTTTTTATCTAATCGATGTCGTCGATACGCTACTCAATTTCTGAATCATGCTTATCTTCGACGCTTATGCCATCAGCACCTTCACTGTGAACTACTTGCTCTGGTCGGGAACTGCTATCGAAAAAAAACTGAAGAATAAGTAAGAATTATCCTAACCCATAACAAAATATTGATAAATAAAAAAAATAATGAATTTCATTAAAAACGTCTTACATGGCCAATCTTGATGGACCATTATCGTGCATTGTTGGTAGTTGATATTCAATGGAGTCGGACTCAATACGTCTGTTTGATAAGTGCATAGCGATGAGAGAAGACCCTTCCATCATATTTATAATGTCGTTATCATCAGCATTACATATCATATTACTGTTACTTGGTAACCCTGGGTCAATATACCTAATAGTCGCATAATTTAATACTTTTGACAAATGATCTTTTACTTGGTCGAATGATGGGATCCTCCTAAAAAATATAACATTTATGTCCACACCGTTATAGAAAATACTTTCATAATTAGATTTCCTCCTGAAAAAAATTACCAAAGTATAAAACGTTGTTCACTTTATTGTCACCCATTATTGTTGTGTACAAGCTCAATCACTGCATAGAAATTTTAGATGGAAATAAATATAAAATATTGTTGAGAAGTTTCAAAATACTTATATATAATGAGGATGTTGCATTATAGAGGGACATTAGATTGAAATACAAATGGCACAATATAAATACAAATCTAAAACCTATTTATGCAATATTTTAATAAAAAAAATTACAATGGCCAACCTAACTACATCAAGTACTATAGAAAAAACAACATAATATTCTTATAAAATGTTCCCAGCTCAAATCCAAGGAAATAAAAGCTTGACGATTTTGATGACATACATATAAAATCGTGTTAGTGTGTATATTTAATGCTCACGGATTGGGAAATAGCTCTCAAAGACCTTGTTCAAAGATTGATAAATAGATGAGATGATAGAAAATAAACAAGAGATAAAAAATGGATGTGAGAGAGAAAGAGAGAGAAGGGACGCTAAGATGAGAAAATAGTCATGAAAATAGAGTTTTATGATAAACAAATAGTCAAAAAAAAAAGGCAAGAAATAATTACGGTTATTTTTATATCGTATAATGACCCAACAAAGCTACGGAAAGTATTACGGCAGTTCAAATACCTTAACAAAGATTGGAGATATTACGGTATTAAAAGTACCATATAAAATGCGCTAAATATTACAGTACTTAAACTACTGTATAAAATATGCTAAACATTACAATACTTAAAGTACTGTATAAAATGCGTTACACATTACAGAATGCGCTAAACATTAAGTACTGTATAAAATGCGCTAAACATTACGGTATTTAAAGTACCGTAATATTCTTCACAATAATACGGCAGGTTATTTTGATAAAAAAAAAAAAAGTGTAAACGAAATTTATAAAACTTGAGAGTTTTTTTTTGCAATTAGGCTAAAATTATTGCTGATAATTTCCCAAGAATCATATACATTCCTTAGCTTAAACAAAAATGATCCCTTGACCGATTATGGATCATCTAAAAGATCCAATTTTCGAACAGCCAAATCTATGAGGAGGACCGCAAATAAGGGGGTCAGTCCACCCAAGCCTGTAGGCGTGGAAGAGAATGCAACTCCTACACAGCCTTTTCACCGGCACTACTTCTATTCCACCATGGCACCATCTAGCAAGTCTAAAGCATATAGTATACCCGCAAAGGCAAATATAAGTAACATAATTAGTATGATCCTATCCGCATATTGTATACCCGCCAAGGCAAATATAAGTAATATAAGGGATTTAATGACAATAACAAAGATTGTTCGAAACCGTATTCCTTTTATACAATAAGATCACAATCATTTTTGCTTCTAAAATTTCAAAATGAATAGTTATAGAAATGACATTGATTAGATACAAAATTCAAAAATAAATAAAATTTTTCAGTTGTTATTAGAGTGTTATTGATTAGATACAAAGTTCAAAAATAAATAAAATTTTTCAGACTCACCCCAAACCATCCAATTTGACATGAAAATAATTGTGACTACAAAAAATAAATGATCTCTTTATAATCAATCCCATAATAAAAAGTGCATTTTTTATTTTATGTATTTATTTATTGTTGGGGCATGGGAATAAAAAAAAGGCGGGGGTAAGGGGGATGAGGAAGCTTGCAACATGTTGAACTAAAATTTTTCAACAAGTGACTGTCTCCATGAGCATAATATAAACAAGCACACGTTTCACAAATGCAATATTTCATCCAGTAACAATGAAAGTTCATCCCACAAAGGAGTATCAAAACTGAGTCATACCATATCAATCAAGAAAGGAACACCTATGACCTCATTCCTTGGGGACCTGCCAAATAGTACATTGCCCTTACAAGGATCCCAAGAACCAAAAACCAGACTGCTGAACCAAGAAAGTTAAGCAATAAAGCTCAATCAGCCTGAACCACAGAGTAGATGGTGAAATTCAATGTTCACAAGCCTCAAAAAACTAATCTCTCTCTCTCTCTCTCTCTCCATCTTTAGTAGGCATCATCCATTCTTTCGCGGGTTCCACCCCTCCGGTCTTCTCTCCCTCTATCCATGTAAGAGTCTCTATGATAATCCTTAAACCCTGTACCCCTCAAAGGCGATCTGCTTCTCTCTCTAGGGTTTCGGGCCCATCTCTCACGTGGCGGCTGATGTGGTGAAGGTGGGCCCCTGTCTCTCCTTGCATCGTTGTAAGGTCCCCTCCTTTCAGCAAAGAAATCATCCCTCTCTCTCTCCCTAGGCCCATTACCCCACTCCTGATGAGGCAGTGGCCTGCCAAACTTCTCTCTCTCTCTAAACTCAATTTCTTCTTGATGAAAGCCTGGCCTCTCCCTCTCTCTAGCTTCTCTCCCCATTCGTGGGTCCGAGAACCTACCCCCATGCCTAGGAGGCGGTGGGCCCGACCCATATCCCCTGGGCCCGTAGCCCCCACGAGGAGGTGATTCATAGCCATTCATGCTCCTTGGGGGGAGTCCACGATCCAGTGGTGGACCGCCCATGCGTGGTGGGCCGTGTGGGGGTGGTGGGCCTGGGTAGGGCCCACGTGGGCTGTGGGGCCCAGGCGGTCTGAAAGGGGCCATGTCTCTTCGCAACTTGTTGCAATTGTTGCAGTATGCCCGACGAGCAAAGTTGAGGTTTCCACACCTGCATCAAAAGAGTGTTAAACTATTACGGACCAAACATGAATTCCTCGAGGAAATGGGTTTAAAAAACCTCCGGTCTAAATCAGGACTCATTCAAGTCGAATCAGATTGGGAGCCAGGCAATTCTGGCCAAAATACCCCAGAATCGCCCATCTCCCTTTTCTCATAGTTTTAAAATTTCTCTTCATAAAAAATTCCAGGTCCAACTCATACTAGCCCTAGTCAGACCAGGGGGACTCAGTCTACGGCCCCCGAAGAGTAGGAGCCCGAGTCAGACTTCTTTGAAACTGTCAAAAGCCACAGATACAATCAAAACATTGTAAAGTTATTACTATAACAAAGTAAGACCAATTTACATCCAATTTATAATGAGGGGATAATCTTGGTCATTCTTTGGGAGAAAAGGAGAAACATATCACTAGTTGTAAGCATGGATTTTGCTCAAATACACAGAACTGGCATATGGTACATTTTTTGCAGTAGAATGTTGAGAAATTTAGTTTTAAGGCATGAAAAAAAAGAAAATATTCAAGAATTGTCAGAAATATTAGTGGCATCTTACAAATAAGTTACAGTCATCCTCCTATGTTGAGATTTTTATAAAGAAACAGGAGGAAGATAAAGGTGAAAAAAATGGAATATTAAGAGAAAGGATAAAAGGCTAAATTTATCATTTGGTAATAGATGAAGTTTACTTTAATAAGTTAATAATATTGACATAATTCAAGTGCATAGGCTCATCTATAACAAAAGGACAAGAGGCATAGAGATGAATTTAGATTTTAGGATTTTGTCTATTTCAAGAGAAGTTTACCACATTGTTAAAGTGCTCAATGAGGAGGCCATATCTGTTGCCAAAGAGCGTGTGGTGTAACCTGGGAAAACTCGATGTATACCTTTTCTTTGACTTACAATGAGATAACTATTGATAAAATTATTCAAGAACTCGAAAAGTTTGACGATTGTATCTACCAAAAATGCACCCAAGCCTACACTTTGCCAGAAATACATGAAAGAATCTATTGCTATCCTTTTTTTTGGGTAAAAAAGAAAAAACATTTATGAAAGAATCTATTAGTATCCAACTTAGAAGTATGAAAAGCTGCAAATCATGAGACAATTTGAGCACCACTTAAAGGTTAGAAGTTCATCAGTAGAGATCAAGGGGATTTAGTCATTTTCTATCACCACTATATGAGAATGATAAAACAGTAACCAGAATTACGAAGTCGCATTTCAGGAACCATGTAAAAGGTAATAATTACAATGTAAATGATGAAAAGCAAATGCATAAAGTGACAAACTTACGATGGCTCAGAGCATATCCAGTCACCTTCCCTTGGGGGCACATTTGGGTTATTTCTACTCATCGTTTCGCCTCTAAATGATGGGGGTGATCCATAATCAGGTCCTTCGAAACCCCTCCCATATGACCTCCCACCCCTTCCTCGACCAAAAGGGGGAGGTGAGAAATCTCGAAACCTGCCTCGGCCTCTTCCACCCCTAAATCCACGGCCACGTCGAGAGCCCCCAAAATGATCAAAGTCTGAACCATAGTGATGGTCTACCTTTCTATGGCGCAATGGAGATGCTGAACCTGCACGGTCCGAATTCCCATATCCTGAAAAGTATAAAAGTGAGAAATGCAGAAGATATGAGAAATGGGGAATCCATGAAAGAGAGGAGACAGTTGTTTGGGATGCAGCCAGGGATGCAAGAAGCCTTGATGAAAACTACCTTATTCTTTGCTTTTGCAATGAGGGGGAATGCCCAATCTTCGATAAAGATGTATAAGAGTAAGGGAATTATGCTAACAAAGCTTTGTTGGAATTGGAAACTATGAGAAATCCAGTCAAAGCACTCCAGCATGTGCAGGCAGCTAGAAAAAACCGATGAGCAAACCGAACCAATACCCCTGTCCCTGACCCATTTTTTCATGAACATATCCAAACCCAGTTGATATGCCAAAACCTCCTCCTAATAGAACCAATGGAAACCAATCTATGGATGCAGCTAAAGTAGAAGCAAGCTCCTCGTCAGAGCCACCTAAATCAAATGCAAAACCATTGCAGTTTCTTGCTCAAATGAAAAGAAAGTTGAGCAAATTCCTTTCATTTGATTGCCCCAAGTCTATTAAAGTCCCAGCCACAGAGAAATTGAAGGCTAATTTCACTTCGGTCTTCCATCCATTCCAATTCAATAATGACAATTTCAAAACCTCCATGCAAAACCATTACAATTTCAAAAGCCACCAACCTATGAAAAGCCAGTTTTGATACATTAATTTTAATCAAGACCAGTTGAATAAACCTTCCAGTTCAAAACCAAATGATGGGATAACTGGAGTGAGACCCAACAGAACCAACATAATTTATTCAAGAAAACCAAAATGAAAAAGGGAAAACAACTTTCTAGCATGTCAACATTGTCACCCATAAGTGACCTTTCATGTACACTACAACATTAGTATATCTCCTAAACCAACCCAACCGGAGTTCTCAATCTACCAATGGAGAAGAAACTGAAACCATGCCCAACATTTACCTCTCCACAGCTGTTGACTCCACTGGTATGATGTTGCATATGCCCAAGGTATGCCAATTGCCCAAAGCCAACATCTCGCTAGTATTTTATTACCAAAAAAAGTGGCATAGATTAATTTCCATTGCCCAACTATACAAGACGCACACACAGCTTCAAACCCAGATGATTATATACCAATGTTGGTTCCATCATTCTCAAAGCCAAAATAGAACCCATGAAAAAATCAAACAATGTGATTAAATGATCCACAAGACGCATTTCTAATACCGACCCTTGATTCAATTCACCATAGCTTCTAACTAAATGAGCAAATAAAATACATGCCTCCATGGAATGAACCGGCTTTTGCAGCTTTCAAACACCACCATTACTTCACTCCAGGTTATCCATTGAGCACCCAAATATTACCTCAAACTTGCAATGTGAGAACTAATGCTCCAAGTCAACTTTTAAGTCTCACAGTTTATATGATATGTCCAGGGATCCCACAATACGAAGTTTAAATCAGTACCACGTCAAATTTCTACTATCACCAACTGAATTGTTTCCAACTCCATACAGCCCTTTGGAGAAGCCTGTTCACACTAAATATTCTCTGAAAAGAGTTCAAAAATTGCAACAATACTAACACTACATAAACAAAAGTACAACATAGCGGTCCACCATAAGCAATAGCTCTTGGATATGGTACTCAAAACTGGAGTACAGATATTCTATATGATATGGTAGTTGTCCATCACACCCATAACTACCAAAATGATCTCCAAGAGAGAGAGAATGAGATTATTGGAATATAGAGTTTGGGTAGGGATTTCCACAGTTGTGATGCCTGGAGTCTTGCAAAATGGATACCCAATACATTTCAATCATCCAAAAATAAATGTAAAGCACAAATGAGGATGACACAACCATGCCCACAGCCAATAAGTGATCATTGTTCTTATTAGTAACAAATAGTTCCAAACAATCAAACCATTCTCAGTTTGTGCTTATACCCAGTGAAACCCAAAAAAACACAACTTAAAGATTCCTTCTTCCATAGTTTACTTGACCAACCTCGAGCTTAGATTCCAAGTACGCGTCATAAGAACTCAAATTCATAATCTAAGCCATCCAGCTCAACAACCAGGATGATTCGCTTAGATACCAAAACAAGACTCTTTTTAATTTCAATGGGTCAGCCTTTCCCAAACCATAACTACTGAAAACCCACAAACGCTACATAAGACCATCAAAATGTTAAAGTTTTCAGATCCTAATATCTCTCAAGGCCTGTTGAATAGAAGCCAAATGTACTAAAGTAAATGTAAACTTCCTCAAGAAACTGCATTGCAAAGTTACTAAGTTTCCAGGAGCACCCAAAGTTCAAACAACACCCTAAACCTCAAATGTAACATAATTTCCTTCAACAAAAAAGATAATAACAGTTTAGATGAGAAAAGTTAAAAAAAAAGTAGAAGAGAAACTGGAAGTTTTGACTCAAATGAAAAAACCAACATTTGATTTTGGACAAATTGGAAACCACAGTAGAGGTTCTCTTTTTTATCTAATAAAACAGGTTAGACAGAAAACCCTTGTAAACTTACCCAAAAAATACAAAGAGAACAAACAACTTAGGAGAAGTTGAAATATTGGTTGGGTTCAGTGGCTTGGCAAGCAGTTATTGCAAATTCGAATTACTTGTCAGTTCACTAAAGAGTAACGTTACATCCATACATCCATAGGGAAGTAGAGTGCAATGTTTTAAAAAACAGTTCGCCCAGCGCCTAAGCGCCCGCCTAGTCAGCCTGGACCAAAATATCACACGCCCAGCCCCAGGCGACCCTACACGGGCGGATGTACCTGGGCAGGCACCCAGGGAGATGGATTTTTCTTTTTTTTTAAATACCCAAAAGGGAAAATGAGATAATTTTGATGTTTAAATAGGTTAAGGGGGTTATTTTCAACGTTAAAAGAAAAGTTCCATAAACCCTCAAGCTCTTAGCTACATCTGTTTTTGAGAATCGAAAGTATTTTTTGTGGTTTGAAGAACCTTCCTAAACCTTTTCACTTATTTTGAAATATGGAGAGTTGGAGACTATTTCTAATACATATCCTATTAGACTTTTTAAAATTTTGTACGGTTTGAATTTTGAAATTTCAAACAAATTTATTCTCAACAAGCGATATGTACATAACAAAATATGTTACAATATTTTCAAATGTACTAAATTCTAAAATTGACACAAATATATATATATATATACTGCATATTTATATAACTTGTACGTTGGGTGCTGGGCACCAAGCCGGCCGCCTAGCGTTTTTTGAAACCTTGGTAGAGTGGGGCAATCTCCTTAAGCCTTGTGAATTATGGAATAGTTTAATTCGTTGACCCCAGGGAAGGAGGGGTAGAATTTCAGTGCTGGGGTTTTGAAACGTTCAGGAAGCAACTTAAAGTATGACATGACATAAAACAATCTGCAACATAGGACATTTTGGCATGAGATTTGGTACTCAAAGGACAAATCATAATGTACAGAATTAATTCCCCAATTCAAGAGTCATGAGTAAGTAGATTACTGTCTAGTTGGACATTTGCTTAGTTATTTTGAATTCATAATCATTTGGATGTACTCAAAACTAACAATTACAGAAAATACAGGGAAGACTGGACAAATGGGATCTCCTGCTTGAGGAAACTAATTATGCAGCAATGGCCAACAAGATGAAGATAACCTTTTCAGAAACTAAAATTAAACTCAATCAAGACAAAAAAAAAAAGGATTAAGAATATAGATCAGTGCAACATTTAGCAACCAAAAAAATAGGAAAAAATAAGTAGACAATAAAAAGAATAAATCAGCCATGTTTAACTAATTCATTCATTTAATACTGCATAAATTATTCTATCCATTTTGCAGGCCCACCACACATTCAATCCAAAGAGTCTACACTAAACCCAGTTAACAAATCATGAGTGACCTAACAGTCTTGACAAGTAAGAAAAACAAAACGAGCACCCAAGAACAGACCCATCATAGAAAAGACCAACACGTTTCCTTTCACATGACTATAGAACAGTGATTTCAAGCTTGTATATCCATCATCATAAACTCACAAGTACTTTGTTTGCAATCAGAATAGCATATATAATCCTTGTCCCAACGCATGTCTCAAAGAAGGCACCAAGTTCTTCCACGAGAAGATACAAAACCACCAAAATTTCCATTTGTTGCAACAGGTCCCTCAATAATCCATAACTTCGCAAAACCAACCCCAAAGGATACACAAGAAAATTCCAGAAAACCCCCATAACCCATCTAGTGCATGTCTCTTCCATCTTGAATAATGATACCAGATCCAAGATGAAATTTCATGGAAGTTTTTCCAGAAAAACCACTACATGCCTATCTTTTTCTCGATCTTAAGAATAGTGCCATGAATCCCCAGTTTCCCCTCCTGATATCAAAGTAACCTAGAATTGGTATTTAAAAAAACAACTGTAAAACAATTACCCAATCTGCATTTTCAGCTCTGAAACAATTACTGTAAATTTTGAACCCCAAGCCAAGAACCTTCCCTTCAAGCCCCATCAAAAATTACCATGAAAATAAATAACCAGGAATTCAATTGAGAGGTAAAATAAATGATCTGAATATTAAGTCTTACCGTCTCTTCCTTCCCCGAATTCCCAAACAAAACCAATTAACCCTTCGAAACTTAAGCCATGATAATCAGGCCCCAAATCCCCTAAAAAAAACCAAGAACCAAAACCCTAGAAAACCGATGGAATATACTTCGCGGAAACCCCAGAACGATATAACAACAACCCATGATCTGTAATAGAAAACAAATGAAAGTAAGTACACAAAACCCTAAATTTCCCTTCGTTTTCCCCTTTTCTTTGTAGGATTAAAACCCCAACCTCAAATCCACAAAGCCCATGAACCCTGCACCCTCGTCTGCTTTGTCTTTCTCTCTCATCCCCTTCTAGATGCATAAGATGGCCTCTGATTTGGGAGAGAGGGAGACTAAATGAAGAGTGAGAAGTGAAACCCTTTTAATTTCTCTCTCATCTCGTAATGATTTTGAATAGATGTTTAGAGAGAGAAAAAATGGATTGGAACGAACCTGATGATGAATAAAAGGGGTCTCTGTCACGGGGGCGAACCTCTCCTGGTTCGTAATCGCTTCCGCCACTTTCAGCAGGTCGGACCACCATGCTGCTCAAGTTTCCTTGCCCCTGATCTCGACTTCCCATTCTCTCTCTAGACTAATGTCTCTCTTCTCGGTGCGCAGGGATCTCTCTCCCTTCAACTCCAGCAATGGGCATATAATCTCTCTCTCTCTCTCCGGGCACAGGAGGTTTTAATGCCCCTCTTCCCTCTCGTGTTATCCGCTTTCCATTTAACCGGGGTATTTTTTCGCGGTTGCGGTTTTCAAAAGAAAAAATATTTACCTAGGAAAAATAAGGCCTTTCAAAATTTTAACTGTCAGGTTAGTGCAAAACCGGTTACGAGCGGTGCCGACCGGCCGGGTTTGGGTCAAGACCCAAATCCGAATAAATTCGGGTGTAAGTTTTGGACTTGAACTTGATCCGTCGGGTCCGAAAATTGGACCCATACCCATACCCGTCTGGTCTCGAGTCTACCCATGGGTCTCTTGTCCGTTGTCACTTTCATTATGAGCTTCTTTTTTTCTTTTTTTTTTTCATGTACCCATATTATTGATAACAATGTCATAATTACCCGCTATTAGATTTCAAGTCCTATGATTTGTTGTTTAATAGCTATTAGTTCTAATTATATAAGATCTTTAGTACACCCAAATGAATAGGGCTTAAAGTAGAGTATTTTATCTCTAACCGTTTACGGGTAAGAGTCGGATCTAGCTGGATCTAGACCTGTATAATGTTCGGGTCCAAGTTTTGGACCCAGACCTGACCTGCGCAGGTCAAAATGCTAGACCCATACTCGACCTTTTTCAAGTATTCCCGGCGAGTATCGGGTCGGTTCCAAGTCCATTGCCACCCCTACCGTCTACGGGCCAATTTCGGTTTCGGCCAGTATTGGTAAACCGATTGGATAATTTAAAAAATATAGATATAAAATCTCAAAAAATAAGAGATTTTGTTTGTAATGTATTTTTTAATATTTTTCATCATTTTGACAAAGATTGAAATTTGTTTTGCCCTTTAATACTTATTTTTACACTTTTCCTTCTTTTTAATTTTTTTTTAAAAATACCCTTGAACACAAATCAATTCTTTAATATCCATATTTCATTAATTTTCAACTTTATTTCGATGTGCTTTATTTAATTATGATTTAAATATATTTTTCATATTTTTTAAAAAAATAAAACATTTTTTTGAATGCCTGGAACTTGCCTGGTTAGGTTGGTTGAACCCGCCGGTTAACTAGTTAGGCCGGTTGAACCGCTTCCGGCCCCATACCTAGTTACCGTTCCGGTTCGATTTTCCTACACTGAATGAGACCATTTATCGTTGCTATAATCACAATTAATCTTGACCATTGGATGTGAAGTTAAATAGCTGCACTTATTTTACTGACCCAACTCTAATTTAAAAAAATATATATATCGAACTTTATTAAATCCACATCGGATGGTTGTAAGTAATTGTGATTTTCTAACATCAAAAGTAAATGATCTCATTATATACATATCCATTTGAAAACAAAGTAAAGCGTCACTTAGAATCTTCATTTGAAAAGGCATAAAAATGCATCGCTTTAAAATCAATTTTCCACCACTATAAATTTGAGGTTAAGAAAATGATACATATTTTGCACATATATGAATACTTATTTTTGGGGCGAAATGAACGATCTAAATAATGTGTTATAATATACAATAGTTTTAGGGCATGAAATGTTAATTTTTTTTACAACTATAATGTTCAAGGCCAAGATGATTGATTTGAACGTTTCCCAACATTAGAACGATAATTTTTGTCTTAAATTATTTTGATAGGCTAAAGGACATGGCTTCTATGAATCCAGAAATGTGCCCCCCTTTAATAATCCATTTTTGAAATAGATTTTGGCCTTAATCTTTAAAGAACATAAAATCTTTAACATGGAGATCATTAATATGTTAAAAAATAAAATTTAAAAACTTGATAATTTTTTAAAGAAAATATTTGAGCATTTGTTTTAATTGTGTTTGGAGGAGCCACCATTTACATCCATCTCAGTGGATTATTCCTTCGAGAGTGCAAATATAGGGATGCATCCTCCCTTGCATGTAAAAATGTTTGACAATGGGTTGGTTCTAGGGCGGGCTAGCGTTGCGGCGAGCCTAACTTAGCCCGGATCGAGCCAAAGAGGACCTAACTTAGAGTTGTCCGGGCCTGACCGAACCTAATAGACAGAGAGAAAAACAAAAACAAAAACATCGGCTTCAAGCAAGGCAAACCTGTTGCAGCCCTTGCTTACACCCTCAAATCATGGTGGGCAAGCCCTAGCGTACCCCTCGGGCGATATTCTTGGCCCAGACTCACTTGTTTAGGATCGGGCTGCCTGGCCTATTGCCAACCCTATTGTACCTCTATGGTGGCTTTGCCAATATGCCCATGTTTGTTTAAGATATCCAACCCTAAACATGGACAATTTGAAAAAACCAAATAGTACGACTCTTTAAACAATATGTTATGGACAATAAAAATAATCATAAGCCCCATTCTCTACTAGCTCAAAAAAAATAATGCCTAAAGATCGAATGGAAATTATTACACTTTTGAAATGATAAGATCTAAATGTTAGAAAATTCAAAGTTCAAGTTTTTATTTTGAACATAATTATCTAGCAATTTTTAGGTGGTTTTCAAAATTTCAGATAAATATTTTCCAAATAAGTCTTCTGCCCAAGGACAAAATCTGATTAGAAAGTAAAATATTAATTGTGACATATTGACCTTCGTGAGAGGGCACCGACCCGTTGAATGATATTTTCCCTTGAAATAATATGGAAGTAGGTAAAGTGGGAGCAATAAAACTTTGAACTTTTAAAAACAAGTCCTCGCACAGTACTCCCACATCATGTTTTCAACGGTTGGGATTTAATCTCTTTATTTTTCTCTCACCCTTTCCGCTATTTAAATAATAACTCGGGGTCTATTCATTTCCACTCTCCCCCTCTTCTTGGTTGGATCCAAATCTTTCATGTTTCTAGTTTGGCGGTGTTCTAAAACTCCGTGATTTTCGATCCAAATCGTTGATTTAGATGGAAATTGGTTGAGACCGAACCGGTTCTGGCAAGGTATAGGTTCCAGCCCGCTTTCTCCTAAAACTCCTCCTCTTATAATTTTATTTTCTTTTTTTAAGCGGGTCTAATGTTCTATTATGTCCCTTTAATCTCCACCTTTTAAACCCCTATATTTATATTTATTGATATTTAATAATTTTTGGATCACCAATTTAGATCGTCGGTGCAACACAGATTTGTGGGTGAACATCCGTCCCGACAAAATATGACATGAAAATGTAAAAATTATTGTAAACTATTAAGTACTTACAGTTACATATATCTTTTAATATATTTCTTACCAATAATGCATTAAAATACACATGATTGTTTTTTTCAATGGTTAAAAATGGGCAAGATATTAAATTATTAAATTGAAAGGCTAAAAGGGGTAAAATAATACATTATTGACAAATTACATGTATTTTAATAAAACCAACCTTGAACTGGGTAACCCTAAATTGAATCATTTTGTTCTTTCTTCTTTCCCTCTCTTGTTCGTGGTTTGCTCTTCCCTGAAAAGTAGATTTTACATTTGACAGTAAAAAATATAATTATATTTCCATTTGTATGTGTGGTTTGTATAAGGTGTCAATTTTAAACAATCAAAGTAACGTGTATCTCTAAATATTGCTAAAAGATGCAGAACTACATCCGTTGCTAATTATGAAATTCAAAGCTTCACATATGGTCTAGATTGAACTCATCTATAAACAATTTATTTTCAAAGTGAATGGTCTAGATAAAGCACTACAAGGTGGACTAATTTTAAGGACCTAATGTCTTTTTTTGTATATACTTATGTATCTCTCGTTCGAGATGATTGATTATAAGGTTTTTCGACATATAAACAACTTTATTTGAGTGGATTTTTTGGATGTACCTTACTTCTACACTGTGCATCTCACTTAAACTTTTTTCATTTCGTTTTCTAAGTTGGTACTAAAGCTGAGGAGGTTACACCTCCAAATTTTTGGTTTTTAAAATACTACTAAGTAGGATTTTGCTAGGGAGAGTGAATCTAGGATTTCCTCCCACACAAACATGCAATCTTTTCTCATTAGAATATAATCAAGGATATACCTAGGCTAAGACTCGGTCCGGGTTGATCAAACTTAGACCCGGGCATGTCCAGAGTTTAGGCCAATCGGGCCTCCACCCTTGTCATGTTGGTTGCCCATTAGTTCAATCTGAGCCATCCGACTAAGAGTTGTTCTCTAGGTCCCTGTCTCGCATAATATTTATCCTATACAGGCGCACCCAAATACACTCTAGGTTGGGTTGATCCTGACCCAGCAGTGTCCAAGTCAACCAGATGCAACCTGGGCATTGGTTCCAAGCAGGTTCGGCCCATTTATCACTCTCTACTGAGTGCTTTAAAAATCATCGAGTTGACTCTAAATCGCCCGAGCCAACTCCGAATCAGCAAGTGCACTTGTCCATGTCTTACCTTGGTTTCTAATTACTTTTTACTAGTTCCCATTGTATTTTTTCTTTTTCTTTTTGTTTTAAAATTTCATTAAAAACACCTATAGAAACAACAAGTGACTTGAACTAATGGTTGACATGGTCGACCCATCAGTCTGGGTTCTTGCACCTAACTAAAAGAAATGGCAATTATACAAATTTATCTAAAAGGCGGGACCGAGTTTGATGAATATCAATTGTAATTAGGGTTGGCAATGGACCTGGTCCCAACCCGGCCCGACTTATGGCCCGATATAGGTATGGGTATTGGACCCAGCCGGTAGGATCCAGGTCCAAATATTGGATTTGAACACTATTCGGATCCGGGTCCACTTCGACCTGACCCGAATAGTGTTATTATATAAATATTATTTTAATAATATTTAATTAATATTTAAATAAATGTAATTATATATATTTAGTTATAACAATACATGTATATAATTAATACAACATTAAATATATTCAAATTATATATATATATATATATATATATATATATGTGTGTGGGTTGGGTCCGAGCGCAGCCGGACTTCCCAGACCCGTTGCCACCCCTATTCCGGTCTGGTTCGGTCTTGATATCTATGGTCCAGACAAGATTCCAAATTTGAGTTTTTTCTTGAGAGAGCCAATGCAATTTTTTTTTCTCTCCCACAACAGCATAAAATTTGAAGTTTTGCCCCTAACTGTTATTGTGTTTTAATTTGACCAATTTGCTGTTTGGTGTTGATATGTAATGACAATGAAAACCCATTTCAGGACTAACGAAGATCAAACACTGCCCTAACTATTTTTGCCCAAATTAAAAAATGATTTCATCACTTGATAACACACTAAAGTAACAACATACTTGATGGACATTATAACTGAAAAATCAATTGTAATGGATGTCAACTTATGAAGATCAAACATTGGCCCAAACTATTTTTGTGATTTAATTTGGCCTATTTGGAGTTTTATGTTGATTGATTTGCTTTCATACACATGTACATTTAATTAATTCAGTATTTGAAAAAATGTTAAAGTCTTTACTCAAGTGCTTTCCTTTCCCTTCCAAATCGAAGAGGCATCCGAAGCGAATCTGACAATATTGTTATAAACTGCATAATTTACGTTACTGCTATCCACAAATTAAAGAGAAAATTTAATTTAACTCATGATTACAAGTTGCTTGAGGGCTTTCTGAAATCAAATCAAAATAAATGGCTAAGATGTCAAATAATTACAGTGCTTTTTGATAAAATTTTCAATAATCAACGGTGGTTAAATTAAAGGGCACAATATTTAAATAAGAGTGCAGTTAGCATGCGGCCAAGCCTGCACCTGTACAAATGCGGGTTTGGTAATAAATATATTTTTAAATATAATTTGATCCTAATTTTTAGGGAATATATAATATTTAATATGAAGATCGTGAATATGAAAAAACATATAAATTTTGAAAACTAAAAATAATAGTTATATTATGAAAACATTTGGACCGCTATTTACAATTGTTTTTAGATAGTCGACCTATTTACATCCATTTTTAAGATGGATGCTTTATACCTCTGGACCGCATATTGTACAAATGCGATCCAGTCGGCATGAAACATTTTTCTTTAACTAATCAAAGTAGGAGCATAGGCAAACGCTGTTGAAATATGCAATTTCATCATTAAAAAAAAAAGAACGTAAGATGAAACAAAAATCAAATTTTAACCTTAAATATGAAACCTAAAGATAAACAAATGGTGCATAACATGTAGATTCATAAAACACTTTAAAATTTAAAAAACGAACCATTCACATAATGTGTTACAAGATGCATTTTTTTTTGACTTAAAATATATATTTTTCTACATCCATTCATATCGAGCGCTCTAGATAATCAACTGTGGGTGTAGTACGTATAAGTCCGAGGCCCTAAACAATCAAAGTACGAAAAAGCCTTCGAATAGAGTTGAAAGATTTTTGAGCATATCTGTGAATACTTGAAAAAATTGAAAATTGACCATCCAAAAGTGCATTATAAAATACAGTAATTTCAGGATTTGAAATCCATTTTTTGTCATGTCTTTGGAAATGATTAATTTTTGGATTTTTGGGCATCTAATCAACTTCTTTAAAACTTTTTGAGGTGTGCTATTTGGGGCCTTGTTTTAATGTAAACTTTTTCCTATACTTAAAGGGTTATGCCATGTACAATTTTGTTTTAATTTAGTTTTTTTAATACGGTGGTTACCTTCTAAATGTACTCTCATGTAGGTACCTATCAAAAAACATTTTTGCTCACAAATACACGAATTGCCATTGAACTTTTTCCTGTTTTGGATTTTACTTTTACAATTACCATAATTAACAACCTTCACAGATTTAAAGTGTAGAGAGAGAGAAAGAGCACCATTTCTCACACACATTCTCTCTCTTGAATACACAGATCTCTTGGCGATGTGCATCTATGGGTACGTGGCCTCTCTCTCTCCCTCTCTTTCTCTTATTTTTCTGTTTTATTTTCCAGTTTCCGAATCAATTCAATCTTCGGTGTAGTTTTTAGCGAAGAAATCAGAGAATTAGACAGATATTGTTATTGGATCTTTTGTTTGTGAATTTGGGTGCTACTTATTTTGGATCTTAATCCATTGCTTTTTGCTGGATTTGATTTCCGAGCCTGAATCATGGGATTCTTTAATCAATTATTAAAATTTGTTATTGGGGATTGGGATTTTTTGTGCTCCATTCTAAGGGTATTGGGCGGTGATATTTATTGAACTGTAGCTTTTTTTTTTTTTTACCATTCTTCTGAAGTTTTGCTTTTTCTTTTTCTTCTTTTTTGTTTTTTTTGTGTTAATGCATTTGTTTTATCATAAACATAGAATGCTCAATTTATGATTTTAATTAATTTTGCATTAATTGCGTAGCATGCATATATTGGTATTGGGTTTATTTATTTTATTTTATTTTATTTTATTTTTCATTTTTTCCCAAATAATGAGCATCTTTTATTTATCGTAATTTGTTGTGCATTTCCTTGTATCTTTTTAATCTCGTATTTAGGTGGTTTTCTCAGCTGTTATCATATATATAAGTGCTCCATATATGATGTTAATTATCAGTTCATTACATACATTGTTCCATATATGATGTTAATTATCAGTTCATTACATACATTGTTATTGAGTTTATTTTATTTTATTTTTCATTGCTTCCCTAAGACTTGGATTCTTTCATTTATAAGAATTAACTATGCATTTCCTTTTATCTTTTTAATCTGATATATTGGTGGTTTGTTCAGTTGATGTATTTGCAACTGTTTTCTTACTCATACAACTGTTATTCTTCAGAATTCAACTCTCTCTAACCCTCTCTCTCTATACATATATACATATATTAATCTCTCTAAATAATGAGTTTTTCCTATATATATCTACTTCATTTTTCGTGTTCTCGATGTTCTCATCTCATTTAACATGACATGCTCATGCTTCTTTGATGAATTTGGAATTCTAGGGTTTCCTATGTAGTTGAGGTGGAGACCCTGCGTTAAGGCCGAGGGTTCAATTCACAGAAAATGGCATGGTTAGGGAAGGTGTCTTTAGGGGGCTTCCCTGATTTAGCCGGTGCAGTGAACAAATTGAGCGAGAGTGTGAAGAATATCGAGAAGAATTTCGATAGTGCTCTTGGGTTGGAGGAGAAGTCAGATGGCGGTGAAGGTAGTTCTTCCTTATTAGAACTATTCCATTGAGTTTCAGAATATCAAATCAAATCACTGGCAAAATGTTTGTGACTTTGTGTAGAAAAAATAGTTGGTAATTCTAGATTCACATTGGTTTTACAAGTTGATTCTATGCATGGATCTAAGATTTGTTTTGGAAACTCGAAGTTTAATCAGGTTGAGAAATTCTTGTTGCATTATAAGACCACCGTGTTTTTCTTTATTGTTCTTTTGGTATTCTACAATTTATCTGAACAATAATTGATATAGGCCTTTGTATTGCCAATTTTATAAATATGGGTCCTTTTCTTTTTGCTTGTTTTGTTTTTCTTACTTCCTTGTATTAGACAGGTGCCATATTGGAAATTATTTATGATCTGGGTCAAGTTTTAGGTTCTTTGCTTAGTAAAACTATGGGCCGATACATGTAATGTATCGTGGTACCGTGCAAAAGTTATTTTTGTCTTTACAAATTTTTATTTAGTTAAAGGGTTATGTTAACTTGTTTGGAATCCTAATCTTTTATTGTTATGCTTTTATTTTTGTTACACATTTTTACGATTTCATGTAGCTGACCTTAATTAATTGGGATAAGGCTTGGATGACGATAATTTTTAGGATTTCATTCCATGTGTGCAACATAGAGATTTGTTTTTTGCTACTCCTTAATGATTGGTGGGTTTTTATTTTTGTTTTTAAATTATGATTTTCGATTTTTTATGAAGAATGACGAGTACTGTAACATATAAAATTTTCCCCTTTCATATTGTGGTGGATTTGCATGCCATTCACGAATCTATTTAAGGTTCTAATATCATTTACTTTTGTTGAACATAGATATCTATTTTTATGTCATATAATATACGGGGTTTTCACGCCACAAAGAAAGCAGAGATCCTTCTTCTTGCTCCTTTTCTTTGCAACTCTCACTCGCTTTATGAAGGATATATATTCTGCTTAAGAATATGTAGAGTATGAGCACTATTTTTGTTTTGAAATTGGATGAGCTGATTTTTGCATTGTACTGGTTTATCATTTTCTAGCTTCTGGATCGTGGCCCTCCTTCGATCCAGTCATGGCCTTTATGGGGCACAAGAGTGGAGATAGTGCAATTGAGCCCTCAGAAAAAGTTGACTTGTCATCAGTTGAAGAGCCCAGTAAGACATTAGCTGAGGATTCGTCAACAACTGTCCCTACTGAGAGTGCTTCATCCACAGGGCAAGATGAGATCCATGAAATTCAGGGAACTGAAGGACAAATACATGTTATTGAGGCCTCAAAACATGTGCCAGAGGAAGTTGTAATTGATGAACAGGAGTCTAGTTCGCTGAAACTCGCGCAACAAGTAGAATTAAGCTCAAATTCAGATGACAAAGGTGTTTCAGGTGTCATTGATCAAGAAACTCTTGAACCAGCTCAGCAACCATTGATACAAGAAGATAGTAAGGAATTCGGTCAACCCATTGAAGAATTACAAGGTGGGGCATCCACGCTAGTAAACCCTGATGCTGAAGAACAAGTTGAAAAGGATGAATCTCATGATGGGGTTGATTTGAAAGGAATCCCTATTGAACAAGGAAAGGAAACAGAGGAACCCACAATTAGTCAAATAATTGATGAGCAGGTGGCTTCTGATTTATACCCTGTTGAGGACTTAAAGGATGAAAGTGTCAGCGAGCCATTAAGCAGTACTGTCTCAAATGTTATTGATTCAGATGTGTCCCATATGGCCTCTGAATCAGTTACACCAGATAGTGGGTCATTAACTACATTAGAAAAAAATGATTCTAGTGTTAATATCGTGGATTATGGTCATATGGAGCCACCGAGAGGCTTTGATCACACCTTAACTGATTTTCTGGATTCAAATGCTGAAATAGAGAAGCTGAAGATGGAACTGCAATCAATGGAGGCCGCATTGCAAGGAGCTGCAAGACAATCTCAGGTATATCATTTTTACAAATAATTAGGTTAATGTACTTACCAGATTTAAGTGTTTGGCATCTGTAGCTTCACCACTACTGTTTATATTTTGATATTAAAATGTGTTGTTGGATTTATTAAAAAAGGAACTGAACTTCTATGATTCTTCCGTTTGCTTGAGCTCAGCCTGATTAAAGGGCAGATAAACTTGAGCTCTGCTTGCTTAACAAGCCCAGAGATGAGCTGACTAAAGCCATAAACAAGCTGAGCACAAGACCATAAACGAGGCAATATATATCTTGAAATCGAGTCTTGAATTTGATGTGAGGTTTAATATAATATTCAATATATATTGTATGTACAATGTAGTAAACTATCCCAAGTTGTGGTTTAGCCTGAACTTTTCTCAGCTTTACTTGGCTTGTTTAATAAATGTGTAGTATACTCTGCTTGGCTTGGCATGTTGAGCCAAAAAATATTGCACAAGCTTGGCTCATTATGACTTTATGAGCCTAGCCATGCCAGCTTGCAACTGGTTTTGGCCTTATTGACACCTCTAGTCGTGATAGTTTATTTTGATTTCCACTCATTTGTGTGGAGAAGAAAATCTCAGTTATTTTTTTTGCTTGTCTCCTCAAACTCATAGTCCATGTTGTATACTGTCATTTGCAGTCAAAGGCTGATACGATTGCTACGTTGATGAATGAAAATGAGCAGCTAAAGTCTACTGTAGAGGAATTGAAGGTAGGTATGGACATGTACATTTCTCATTAATTATTCTTAGTATGAGTAATAGCTAATGTTAGAATAACATGTTCGTTACAAAAAGAGGCTTTGGATTTATGTGGTTATGACTATTCTTTCCTATTATGCATCAGAGAAAATCTTCAGAAACAGAATCTGATAAACTGAGAGAAGAGTATCATCAGAGGGTGGCGACTCTGGAAAGGAAGGTATTTCATGATGGGAAATGTTATTTCTTCCATGTTGATTTTCTTTCATAAAATTTATGCTGATCCCTTGAGAAACTAATGAAAAAAGAAAACTATATTTGTTTCTTACACAGTTAACCTTTTCCTCAAAAAAAAAAAATGTTTCTTACATGATTAAGTACTAACACGATAAGGAATGAAATGTTTGCTTGTATATTATGTTGAAGCAACTGCTTAAAGATATTCTATAACCTGGATTTCAAAGGGTAGGACCTCTAGCTTGTTTTCTATCCACATCCTTTTATTGTAAAGTGACATTTATAAAAGGAAAGCAAAGCAACTATTTAATCAAGAGTTCATTTGGGGAAATTTTTGTCAAGTGCGACCTAGGAACCTTGCATTACAAAAATGAGTTATTCATATTAAAGAAGCAGCTACTTAATCTAGATTTCTAAATACAATTTGTGTGTCAGGTGTGAACAAGGAACAGATGAACTATCCTTGGTGTTGTTTCAAAAGTTTGAAGATGTGGTTGCACACACAAGAATTTTAATTATAGTTAAGTATTCAAATTTTTTATTATAGTTAAGTATTCAGTAATTATTACAGTTTTTTTGATAACTCAAGCATTATATTAGTTTATTATCACTTGTCCAATTATGGTATCTTAGTTTTTGAGTATCTTCACCTGACATATTCTGTCAGGGTTCTGTCTTGTTTAATCGTAGAGCAGAAAATTGAATTTTTTAAATGAAGATTGCGTCTTGGATCTGGCATTTGCAAAACTTGAGCAACATGTATAACCATTGAAGCTAACCAATATCCATTTGCTCATAGTTGACCTAGTTTGCCCAGCCAATGTAGCATAATTATGATAGCAATGTCATCTAACTATCTAAGTCTTCCAGCATTTAGCCGATCTTCTATCTGCTATGCCCTCTAGCGAGAGCCAGATTAGTTGCTCAGGCTATTTTCAGGCTTTGATAGCTCTGTTTCATTTTGTAGAAACACAAGTTCAAAGTTGGCTCTTTACCACACCATAAACATTTGACGAAAGTTTCGTTACCTGCTGCATTTGCATCAGTTTCTAGTTGTTGTTTTTTTGGTTATTCCTTCCTGGGCGTTGTTTGGCCGCCTTTTCATCCTGCTCTTGTTGCAGGTTTATGCTCTTACAAAGGAGAGAGATACATTGAGAAGAGAGCAAAACAAAAAAAGTGATGCTGCGGCTCTTTTAAAAGAGAAAGATGAAATTATAAGTCAAGTCATGGCTGAAGGTAGTCCTTTGAAAGAATTTTACTCTTTTGTCCCTCTGCTCATATCTGTTGTTGGGAGCTGTGAGATGACTTGTTTTAGTCATCTTGTATTTTTCTTATTTGTCCCAGTTAATTTTATTTATTGGAAGTGAATTTTCGACTTTAGTTATATATATTATGACTGGACAAAGATTCCCTTTCTCGAAGAAACATTACGGCATCTCTATTGCTTTTCTCTATCATAAACCTAACTATTTGTCAAGGCTTAGGATTCTTCTCTACAACAAGTATTTTTTCTCTATTTTCCCCATTTCCTACCATAAAAAGCTATTTCCTGTTGGAAATTGAAGTTGTGGAGCACCAAGATTTTTTCATGTTCATTGGACTTACTTTATCACATAGCTATGTACAGTTTTTTTTAAGGTGTTGGATTTGGTATGTGGTTGATACATGTAGCTCCAAGGAAAGGTCCATTATGATTTATTTGGTCAATCGTGTTTTCGGGGGATAAAGGTGCATCCAAGCTTCCCAAATGACTGAAGGAATATGGCATAATGATGCAGAGGTGTTTTAAGCTTATCAATAGGCCAGTGGCCAGTGGGGCTTATATGTTTTGGGAAAGTGAGGCATATGCTCGAGAGAGGGAATGTGGGATTTGCCATACACCATGGCAAATGATATAAATGGAATCAGTTTAGTTGTATACCCCGGAAGATGGAAGGTTGATAGTTTTATGGTAATTACATTTCTGGAAAAAAAAAGGAATTTGTGAAATACATACATACATACACATACACACTCACACACCCACACCCACACACATACAAATGTTAAAATTAGAATATGTTGTGATGTGTTTTTATTAAAAATCTAACGTTTTTAATAAAAAACCTGCTTTTATATAGGCAACATAAGGATATATTTGAAATTTCATAAAAGTAGAATGGCATTCTGGAAATGCATCCTGGAACTTTATTAGTACAATATCATTTTAATAAGAATTTTAATATGCCCTTATAAAGATGACAAAAATACCAAATGTCTTTTAGTTATAGTACCATATACAACCTTAGTTAATAACCAAGTTACCCATAAAAACTAATTATAGTAGAAAGAAACCACATATTTTATAAATCCACCATTCACAGCTAATTTGAACAGTCTCACAGTGGTCTTTATTTAATGATTAATGATTGTTTTTTGTTTTCTTTTTTTGAATGTTAACGGGGAACCTGGTGAGAATGGAACTCTAGATGTCACGTTCTGGTACCTGCCACCCTGACGACCTCTTCCTAGTGCCCTTTCTCAATAATTAATCATTGTTTGTAAACAAATCACAAGATATTTTGAGGAAACATTTACTGCTTTACTCGTTTACGAAAAACTGCACTGTCACATATAAGTATTTGTAGCCTCATAAGGAAAAAACTCATGTGTGCAGGTGAGGAGCTTTCAAAAAGGCAAGCTGCTCAAGAGGCCCAAATAAGGAAATTACGGGCACAGGTGTGGGAGAAATTTTTATGTTATGTGCTGTTCCATTATGTGGCATTGAATACATCGTTGGAATGACCACTTTTGTCCCTTACACCCTTTTGTTTATGGAAAATCAGATAAGAGAGTTTGAAGAAGAAAAACAAAGATTGAATTCCAGGCTTCAGGTATGTTGTCATGAACTATGATTTCTATTTTGGGTTGGTATAATTAATGATGGATGTTATAATCTTTGAAATCACCATGCAATGTCTACATTATCTGCATCATTTGAATTTTTCCATAAAATAATTTGGTAAAGTAATGGGTGTTTCCTCTATAAAAATTTGAGGGCCAGAGGACTTATATTATAGCATTGGTAGTCTCTTAAAACTAATTGTTAGAAAGTTTGTCTGACATACTCTATGAGTTGATACAACTGAAGTAATTCCTGAATCTGTTCTTTTCAACTGGCTAAACATACCTTTTCAGGCTGTGGAGGAAATTAAGTTAAAGAAAATACTAAAGAAGCCCTAAAATACTAGTCAAGATGTCTAATTATGGAACTTGGATTAAAACAGTGTACCTCCGTAACGCGATTCTCACCATCTAAGTTGCTTTGGTTACATTTCATCTAAGTTTTACTTGTTTAGAAATTCAGTTCTATAATCTTATGAGTAGGAATTTTTCAGGTAGAAGAATCTAAAGTTGAGTGCATGAAAAAAGACAAGGCAGCAACTGAAAAGTTGCTACAAGAAACAGTAGAGAGGAGTCAGGCTGAACTTGCTGCACAAAAAGAGTATTATACCAATGCTCTCAATGCAGCCAAGGAAGCCGAAGCATTGGCTGAGGCACGTGTAAATAATGAAGCCAAAGCTGAGCTTGAACGTCGATTAAGGGAAGCCGCAGATCGTGAAGCCACACTAGTGCAGACACTTGATGAACTAAGGCAAACCCTCAGCAGAACAGAGCAACAGGTGCTTTGTATTTAGTTTCTATACGACTGGGAGTTTTGACTTAAGGAGAGAAGCATACACAAACTTGGCTGAGGCCATATGCTAATAAAAATAGCATTTTGTTTTTTGTAGTTAGGTCTTAATATGAATTTGGGAAAATATCAAAAGCTCAAAACAATGCTTGGAGCACCTGCATGAACTCTGCAGTCATGTAGGTTTTTGGAGCTATCAGTTTTGTTTGTGCAGTATACTACCATCCTGTGGACTATGGAAAACTATAGTCTATTGTGGTCATCATCATCATCATTATCCGAGCCTTATTCCAATTACTTGGGTCAGCTACATGAATCATGTTTTGCCATTCCGCTCTATTAAGGGCCATACCTTCAATCAGACCATAAGTCACCACATCTCTTCTCGCTACTTTCATCCATGTCCTTTGGGCCTTTCCCTTGCCTTTTAGAGCCTTCTACTTGAACCAAATCGCCCCTCCTAACAAGTGTTGTTCTAGGTCAGTATTGCATATGGCAGCTTACCTAAGTCTACTTTCCCTCATCCTATCGCCTATTGGAACCACCCCTAAGTTCCCGCGGTTGTATTCATTTTGACTTCTATCCTTCTGGCCTTGCCACTTATCTATCTCAACATCCTTGTCTCAGCTACACTCACTCTATGGATGTATGTTGCTATCCTTTCTGGTCTTACCGCTTATATATCTTAACATCCTTGTTTCAGCTGCACTCACTCTATGGGTATATGTTGTTTTTTGACTGCCCAACATTCTATGCCATAAAGAATTGCTGGTTCCATCAACCGTCCTATTAAACTTCCCTTCAGTTTCATTGGTATTTAGCGATCACATAGAACTCCAGAAGCAACATCTCCACTGTGGCTACCCAGCTCTATTTCTGTTGGGGATTATCGTCCAACAAAATGTAAGGTGATGGATAGTGTCGGAATCACCAGAACAGGACATTAGCCCAATAGTGGATCCTACTATCTCTTGATCACCGTCAATGTTATCTTGTTACTAGTAAAGCTCGGTTCTTGAAACAACAAACAAGATATGATTGACGGTGGCAATTTTCACTCTTGTTTGTTGTTTGTTGTTTCAAGAACCGAGGTTTATGACTATTTATTGAATGGTGGCGTTAACCTAGCCTAATGGTTTGTATACTGGACAAGGGTTAAAACAGTAATTGACAAAAATGTGTGGTTAAGGCATGTGGTGCTCCAGGCACTCTTCTATAGATTTTCTCGACCCATTTCTGTTATGTTTTACAAAACGTGATATTATAATCTGGTTTGATGCTGTAGGCTGTTTTCCGTGAAGATATGCTTCGAAGAGACATTGATGATCTCCAAAAGCGTTATCAAGTGAGTTGTACTTCATGTAGCTAACATGCTGTATATTGTCTGCTTTCTTTTTAGGGAAGTATATCATAATCCAATGTAGTATGCTAGGTACATCAACTGTCTGCTCTCAATGATAGGCTGTTTAAATAAATTTCTGGAATGAAAATGCACCTGAGTGAAGGTCCTGGTGGGTCCCCACTGTGGTAATCTTCACTCTGTCAGCAGGAATGGAGGGTGGATGTCCATTTGGTGTAATTTACTTCATAATCCATTGGATTATGGTTGGATTTTCCCTTTTTAATCTGTCTTGTATGGTTAATCATTCTAGAGAGCTTTGTGAGATGTTCACAGCATGGTATTTTTTGTCATCCTGTCTTCTATGGTTAATCATTCTAGAGCTCTGTGACATATTCTTATCATGGTTTCTTAGTCAGACTGTATTGTATGGTTAATCATTCTAGAGAACTCTGTGAGATATTATTTTCCTGGTTGATCAGTCACTGAAGTTATCTATGATATTCTTAAACTGATCTTCAGGCCAGTGAGTTGCGTTGTGAAGAATTGATTACACAAGTACCTGAGTCCACGAGGCCTCTTCTGAGGCAAATTGAGGCTATCCAGGTCATACACATTATACCCTTAGCCATTCTTTTGATGTCAAATTTATAAAGGGAAAGCATGGTACAAGCAAATGGACTTGGTATATTCGTTGTCTATTGGGGTATCATCTTCTCTGATGACGGATGGTGATGGAGTGGCAGCCACCTGCCCAGAACAGGTCGTGATCCCATGGGTTCCACTGTCTCTGTCACTATGATTTCATTGGACGGCGACGACCCCTGTGGACTATCGGTTCCAGTGATAGTCCATTGGGTTATAGCATACTTCCCTTTCATGAACCAATCATTTGCTGTGAAGTTTTATGAGTGAATTAGTTCAATGCTCAAAGGAACAGTTTAGTGGATATCTTACAGGAAAACATTGGGTTGCATTATTTTTGGAATAAAAACAGGAGACAACAGCTAGAAAGGCAGAAGCTTGGGCTGGCGTGGAGAGAGCCCTGAACTCTCGTCTTCAGGTTTGTGCTTCATCTGACTGGAGTGTTGATGAAAAATGGCTCTATGTATTCATATCAGAGAAAGTGATATTATTAAGCAGTGGACCATGCAAAACTGTAGTCTATAAGGTTTATCACTGTCCACTGAAATGAATGGGGAGAGAGAGTGGGGCACACCAACAGAGTAATGTTATATTCTGGTGGTCCTTCTCAGATTCCATCATCTTCCGTTGTTTCATCGGATGGTGATGACTCTTGTATCCTTTCCCTCCATATTATGCATTATTGCTCTAATATGTATTACTATTATTTCCTTTCAGGAGGCTGAGGCAAAGGCTGCGGCTGCTGAGGAGAGTGAGAGGTCCATGAATGACCGCCTTTCTCAAACTCTCTCTCGAATGGCTGTTTTGGAAGCTCAGGTGTTTAACATGTTTGTTTTACTCCTCCCCCCCCCACCCCCATCCAATGGTGACTGTAGATTTCTTCTGATACAAGCCCACATTTATAGTGCTGCTAGCGGTGGTTTCTAATCTCCCTTAAAGAACGTGAGCTATTGATATTAAAGGCTCTAACATTCAAAGCCTAAGAATCCAAGCCTGTCTTAAAAGCCTCCAAAACACACATGCAATCCCAAACCTCCAAAATTCTCTATTTCTTCTTGGGTTTCACTCCCAAAATTCTTAAAATCCAACTCTGAAAATTCCAACATGATTCCTTGT